CACTATCTTCATTGCAAATTCCAAATCTCAAATATTCCCACATCTAACAGAGATTTACCTTTTTCAATAAAATTCAAGCAATATCAAATATTTTGCCTATCGATATTTATAGCTGAAATTCATTGAAAATTACAAATCTCGCTATTTATAGCTGTAATACTTTTTGTATAACACTATTATTGGTTCAAATTTTCTAAAAATTACACATCTTGGTGACTCTCTCAACTCACTAAAATTTATTATGTTCAATAAATTTCAAACAATTTTGTGCCTAACACTCTTTATTAACTAAAATTTGTTTAAAATTACTAATCTCGTGAACTCCCACATCTCACTGATATATATTATTTTTACTAAAATTCAAGCAATATCTAATATTTTATCTATCGCTATTTGTAGCCGAAATTTATTAAAAATTACAAATCTCAGTGATCTCCTGCATTTAATAGATGAAATTTATTGAAAATAACAAATCTATGTGACTCCCACAACTCACTAAGATTTATTATGTTCAATAAATTTCAAATAATTTTTGTACCTAACACTCTTTATTACCTAAAATTTGTTGAAATTTACAAATCCTAGTGACTCCCGCATCTTACTGAGATTTATTATTTTCAATAAAACTCAAGTAATATCAAATATTTTGTCTATCGGTATTTATAGCTGAAATTCGTTAAAAATTACAAATCTCGGTGATCTCCTGCATCTCACTAAGATTTATTATTTTCAATAATTTTCGAGCAATATCCAATATTTTTTCTCTAACACTATTAATAGATGAAATTTATTGAAAATAACAAATCTCTATGACTCCCACAACTCACTAAGATTTATTTTGTTCAATAAATTTCAAACAATTTTTGTACCTAACACTCTATATTACCTGAAATTTGTTGAAAATTTTAAATCCTAGTGACTCCCACATCTCACTGAGATTTATTATTTTCAATAAAATTTGAGCAATAACAAATATATTATCTATCCCTATTTATAACTGAAATTCATTGAAAAATTACAAATCTCGGTGATCTCCCGCATCTCACTAAGATTTACTATTTTCAATAAATTTCAAGAAATATCCAATATTTTTTTTCTATAACACAATTATTAGATGAAATTTATAGAAAATAACAAATCTCGGTGACTCTCATAACTCACTAAGATTTATTACGATGAATAAATTTCAAACAATTTTTGTCCATAACACTCTTTATTACTTAAAATTTGTTTAAAATTACAAATCTCGGTGACTCCCACATCTCACTGAGATTTATTATTTTCAATAAAATTTGAGCAATAACAAATATTTTGTCTATTTCTATTTATAGCTGAAATTCATTGAAAATTACAAATCTCGATGATCTCCCACATCTCACTAAGATTTATTATTTTCAATAAATTTCAAGCAATAGCCAATATTTTTTTCTATAACACTATCAATAGATGAAATTTATAGAAAATAATAAATCTCAATGACTCTAACAACTCACTAAGATTTACTATGATCAATAAATTCCAAACAATTTTTGTCCCTAACACTCTTTATTACCTGAGATTTCTTGAAAATTACAAATCTCAGTGACTTCTGCATCTCACTAAGATTTATTATTTTCAATAAAATTCAAGTAATATCAAATATTTTGTCCATCGGTATTTACAGCTGAAACTCATTGAAAATTACAAATCTCGATGATCTCTCCGTCTCAATAAGAGTTATTATTTTCAATAATTTTAAAACAATATCCAATATTTTTTTTTTCTATAACACTAGTAATAGATGAAATTTATTGAAAATAACAAATCTCAGTGACTCCCACAATTCACTAAGATTTATAATGTTCAATATATTTTAAATAATTTTTGTCCCTAACACTCTTTATTACCTGAAATTTGTTGAAAATTACAAATCTAGGTGACTCCCCCATCTCACTAAGATTTATTATTTTCAATAAAATTCGAGCAATAACAAATATATTATCTATCCCTATTTATAGCTGAAATTCATTGAAAATTACAAATCTCGGTGATCTCCCGTATCTCACTAAGATTTATTATTTTCAATAAATTCCAAGCAATATCCGATATTTTTTTCTATGACTATTAATAGATGAAATTTATAGAAAATAACAAATCTCAGTGACTCTCATAACTCGCTAAGATTTAATTTGTTCAATAAATTTCAAACAATGTTTGTCCCTAACATACTTTATTACCTGCAATTTATTGAAAATTACAAATCTCGGTGATCTCCGGCATCTCACAAAGATTTATTATTTTCAATAAATTTTAAGCAATATCTAATACTTTTCGTCTAACAATTTTATTGGGTCAAATTTTATGAAAATTACAAATCTTGGTTGCTCTCACAACCCACTAAGATTTATTATTTTAAATAAAATTCAAGCAATATCAAATAATTTGTCTAACACTTTATCCATTGCTGAGTGAAATTCATTGAAAATTCCAAATCTCAAAGACTCTCACATCTCACTGAGATTTACTTTTTTCATTAAAATTCAAGCAATATCAAATATTTTTTCTACCTCTATTTACAACTGAAATTCATTGAAAATTACAAATCTCAGTGATCTCCCGCATCTAACGAAGATTTATTATTTTCAATAAATTTTCAAACAATATCCAATATTTTTTTTTCTATAACACTATTAATAGATGAAATTTATAGAAAATAACAAATCTCGATAACTCTCATAACTCACTAAGATTTATTATGATCAATAAATTTCAAGCAATTTTTAACCCTAACACTCTTTATTACCTGAAATTTGTTGAAAATTACAAATCTCGGTGACTCCCGCATCTCACTGAGATATATTATTTTCAATAAAATTTGAGCAATAACAAATACTTTATCTATTCCTATTTATAGCTGAAATTCATTAAAAATTACAAATCTCGGTGATCTCCCGCAGCTCACTAATATTTATTATTTTCATTAAATTTCAAGCAATGGTCAATATTTTTTTCTATAACACTATTAATAGATGAAATTTATAGAAAATAACAAATCTCGATGACTCTAACAACTCACTAAGATTTATTATGATCAAACAAATTTTGTCCCTAACACTCTTTATTACCTGAAATTTGTTAAAAATTACAAATCTCGGTGACTCTCGCATCTTACTTGAGATTTATTATTTTCAATAAAATTCAACTAATATCAAATATTTTGTCCATCGGTATTTATAGCTGAAATTCATTGAAAATTACAAATCTCGGTGACTCTCGCATCTTACTTGAGATTTATTATTTTCAACAAAATTTGAGCAATACCAAATATTTTATTTATTCCTATTTATAGCTGAAGTTCATTGAAAATTACAAATCTCGGTGACTACCGCATCTCACTAAGATTTATTATGATCAAACAAATTTTGTCCCTAACACTCTTCATTACCTGTAATTTGTTGAAAATTACAAATCTCGGTGACTACCGCATCTCACTAAGATTTATTATTTTCAACAAAATTTGAGCAATACCAAATATTTTATTTATTCCTATTTATAGCTGAAATTCATTGAAAATTACAAATCTCGGTGATCTCCTGCATCTCACTGAGATTTATTATTTCAATAAATTTACCGCAAAAGCCAATATTTTTTCTATAACACTATTAATAGATGAAATTTATAGAAAATAAGAAATCTCGGTGACTCTCATAACTCATAAGATTTATTATGATTAATAAATTTCAAACAATTTTTGTCCCTTACACTCTTTATTACCTGAAATTTGTTGAAAATTACAAATCTCGGTTACTCACACATCTCGCTGAGATTTATTATTTTCAATAAAATTCGAGCAATAACAAATATATTATCTATTCCTATTTATAGTTGAAATTCATTTAATTTTACAAATCTCGGTGAACTCCCACATCTCACTAAGATTTATTATTTTCAATAAATTTCAGACAATATCTAATATTTTTTTCTCTCACACTATTAATAGATGAAATTTATAGAAAATAAAAATCTTTGTGACTCCCACAACTCACTAGGATTTATTATGTTCAATAAATTTCAAACAATATTTGTCGCTAACACTCTTTATTACCTGAAATTTTTTGAAAATTACAAATCTCAGTGACTCTCTCATCTCACTAAGATTTATTATTTTCGATAAAATTCAAGCAATATCAAATATTTTGGCTATCGCTATTTAAAGCTGAAATTCATTGAAAATTACAAATCTCGGTGATCTCCCGCATCTCAGTAAGATTTATTATTTTCAATAAATTTTAATCAATCTCTAATTCTTTTTGTCTAACACTATTATTGGCTCAAATTTTCTGAAAATTACAAATCTTGGTGGCTCCCACAACTCACTAAGATTTTATTATTTTTTAATAAAATTCAAGCATTATCAAGTATTTGTCTAACACTATTCATTGCTGACTAAAATTCATTGAAAATTACCAATCTTGGTGAGTCCCACATCTCATTATAATTTATTTTCAGCAAATTTCAAACAATTTGAAATTATCATTTGGTCTAACACTATTCATTGCTGACTAAAATTCATTGAAAATTACCAATCTTGGTGACTCCCACATCTCATTATAATTTATTTTCAACAAATTTCAAACAATTTGAAATTATCATTTGGTCTAACACACTTTATTATAAGCTGAAATTTATTGAAACCAGAAATCTCAATGGCTCTCACATCCCACTAAGACTTATTATTTTCAATATATTTCAAACAACTGCCAATATTTTTTGTCTACTACTCTATCATTAGCTTAAATATGTTGAAAATCACAAATCTCGATAAGTATGTATGTCATAGGTTATGTTGGTTTTTATAAAAAAATAAAAAAGGAAAAAAAGTTGAAAAACAAAAAGCTTCAAAGAGAAAAGATCAACCCATTAATGCCCCTTATACTAATTATGGTTCTCATTTTCTTTAAAAAAAATAATTTTAAGTTATTTAAGTTGTTGTATAAGGGAAGAAAACAAACATTAGTTACCTCATGGCACAGAGCCAACATGCTAGCCTCAACACATACAGCCTTCAGTTGTGCTCCATTGAAATCATCTGTAAAATGAGCAAGTTCTTCAAAGTTATCATCAGGGTGAACATTCACTTTCCTTGAATGATCTAAAATATCAAAGTGAGGACAGTATGTAAATATTTTTTTTCCAAAATATGCCAGTAGATAAATTTTGAAGACACTAAACCTGGAGAATCCAAGCCATACTTTTTCAATTGATTGCGAAAACTCAATAATACAATCCAATCGCTCGGAATGCATAAGGGCAACGTAAAGAATATTTGCACTGTTTGTTACTGCTATTACCTACAATTGACAAGAATAAATGAAACTAAGTCTTGAATAACATAGTTTAAATGAACAAAATTCAATAAGTTTGGTGCCAACTATTAAATCTAGTTTATCGATATTTGAGATGTTAACATGTTGTGAAAGAATTGTGAAGTCAAAAACAATAAAAAAGTAAAATTATGAGACCAACCCCTAAACATGGGACTTGAGAACAATAGGTCATATTTTAAAACAATGGAAAATAGGTGTTGTCCACATTGATATTAGACACAGAATTCAAAAGGATATAACCCACCTCAAAATAATATGAAAATTAATGTCTTTCTAAATCTTATTTATCCCTCCATCAAAATTGAATAAAAAAATAATCCCAAAAACAATTATTAATTATTGGCTATTTTAAAAAAAATAAAGATAATGATATATGCACAAGTATTTCTAGTTGAGTTAATTAGATATTTTCTTTTCTATTATTAGAATCAAATTATGTGAAATTTTCTTATAGAACCTTAGAGGTACACTCACAAAGGAATTAAAATTGGCTTGGGTTTTCAAAAATAGGTTTAAATTTCGTTTTAAAATAAGTTTATGACTTGAAATCGAGTTTGATTTCAAACCTAGTTTTAAATCATAAACCTGTTTTTAAAACTAATTTTAAGAAAATAATTAATTTTAAAATTTATTTTAAAAATGACTTGTTTATATTTAAAAAAAAATCAGTTCTAAAACTAATTTATGGTTTAAAATCATTGTTAAACCAATTTGGTTTTAAAACCAATTTATGTTTCAAAATTCAATTTAAAATCAGTCTAGTTTAAATATATATCTCAAATCATAAACCAGTTGTAAACTATAATAGTAGTAAAAACCAGTTTGAAACGATAATCAAGTCAACACACTCAAGAATTTCAACAAGAATGACTCTTGAGTTTTGAGAAAGAAACGGATGGCAGAAAACACAGAAACAGATAGAGAGACAGTTAAGTGTTTGAGACGTGTGAATCCATTATATTAAAAGAGACTACCAAAAAAAGCCTTCAGCCCAGAAAGTTCATTTAAGAAAAAATTCATCAAGTATAAAAGCCCACAAAACCCTATAAGCTAGGATCTGTCCATGGCCTAATCTTTTATAAATAAATAAGAAATTCAACTATAAAAAAATCATCTTAATTCATTTTAGAAATCAACTTACTTCATGCTTAATTCATTATATGAACTAACTTCTGATTTTTATTATAAATATTTCATTAAGATAAATTTATTTTTAAAATAGAAGTAATATTTTAACCAAAATTAATGTTTTAAAAAATTAATATTTTAACAAATAATATTTATGTAATAATGCATATCTAAAAAAGTAAAAAATAAAATATTACCAGATAAATAGTTCACTAAATAAATTAAAAATGTATGCAATAATTTAAAATACGAAGAGTGGTGTAAAATAATTTTTTAAAAATATTATATGAGTAATGAAGTTTTTAATTTTTATATAATCAATAAAAAAATGTTTTTTTTTTGTAACGGACAAGAGTCTTAAAGATTTTTTTTCAAAATATAGATTAAAATAAAATATTAGCCATCATTAGTACATACAGAACACATAAAAATATTTGACTATAGATATGGAAAATTTTTAAAAATATATAAATAGAAATATGTATGATTCAAAAATTATATCTAATAAAATAAAATATGTTGAAAAGATTAAGAAACTTATGGGATTGAATTTAATCTATATTTTTTTCAATATAGTTATGTTTAACTTAAATGAAATAAAAACAATCTTTGCATTGAAACAATATATCAAGCGGTGGGTAGTAGGAGTGGTATGCATAGCTACTTACATCCATTTAAAAAAAAAAATCAAGGCAAGTTTTATAGCATTATTATCATACGTAGCTTGAATATTGAGACAGATAGGCAAAAGAGTACTACACTGATCTGAATATTTCTATTATATATGAGGATAGTATTTTGGAAATACAAAAGTTGCAGGGACTAAGATAGTGTTTGTTTCCAGGAATTTACTGTTCATGAGCAAAGAAAAGCGAAGAAACTTGTTGTTCGTTTCCAGTAATTTGCGACGACGAAAAAGCAAAGAAAAGGGAAGAGAAGCATGATTCGCGTCCTCGCACAAAAGCGAAGAAAGGAGAAGAAAGCCACATAAGATTTATAAAAACCTAGAAATACCCCTTCACATGCATGCATAGTGTGCTATGCAGTAGAGAAAGCATATACAAAAGAAACATAATCAATTATGCAAGGATACATAATCGATTATGGCCTTACATAATCGATTATGTTGAAGCATAATCGATTATACAAGGCCATAATCGATTATGCTTGATCACATAATCGCATGATCGATTATGCTATATATATAAAGCATAATCAATTATGCTATATATATATATAAAGCATAATTGATTATGCTATATATATATATATATATAACATAATCGATTATTATATAACATAATCGATTATGCTTAAACCCTAACTTTGGCATCGGAATCTCTTTTGCAGGTACCACCCCCATCTTGGAGCACCAGCATACCAGTGAAGGAGGCTCGCCGATCTTACGCAGCGGATCGTCTCTACGACAAATTTCCGGTAAGAACATATATATATATATATTAAATATTAAATATTAAATATTAAATATATATATATATATTAAATATTAAATATTTAATATTTAATATATATATATATATTTAATATTTAATATTTAATATTTAATATATATATATATATGTTCTTACCGGAAATTTGTCGTAGAGACGATCCGCTGCGTAAGATCGGCGAGCCTCCTTCACTGGTATGCTGGTGCTCCAAGATGGGGGTGGTACCTGCAAAAGAGATTCCGATGCCAAAGTTAGGGTTTGTACGAATAATAGTCTCATATATATAATGCACGTACCTTGAGATGGTTTAGGGTTGTCTTGGGCCTTAGGCCTGAGATGAGATATGTTATAATATGGCATATTGTGATATGATATAGCGTAATTAGAGGGCGGTTTCGGTCTGGGGCGAGATCCCCGGGTTCGGGCGTGATCTGCCCAAATTCCGGGCTCCGAATGCCGGGCTGACACTGCTTAGTGTGTGCCCGGGGATGCCTTTATATTGCTGGTCCGGGCTCGGAGCCCGGGTGCGAAGTATGGTTAGTACACTAGCCCCCCGAGCTCTGAAGGCCGTTGGTCGAAGAGTTAAAATCGGGCTCGTTAGAGGGGAGAGTGGCTTTGCGCGTACGCTAACTGGAGGGCCGCCACGTGTTGCGGCTGTTCGCATGCTGGAGACGTTTGAGTGACGTGTTAAGGGCAGTGACGGTTGCGTGATGATGGTTTTTGTAATAAATGCGTCGTCAGGTGCGCCCTTTGGTTGACACGTGTCGCGCTTCTTCGCCTTTACTTCTTCATTTTCTTTTTGGCGTCTCGAGTGCGAGAGGGTTCCCTTTGCTTTCTTTCATCTTCCTTCTTCTTCGTGTTTCCGGCGTCTTTTCCGGTAACCTTTTTCTTGTTAGGCTCGTTTTCTGGGGAGGAGTACCAGGTACTTCCTTTTTATTCATTTCTTTTCTCCTTTTCTCGGATCTTTCCTGGGTGTCCTTCCCTCTTTCTCTTTCTCTTTTTTAATGGCTGGTGGAAGTGCCATAGGGTCTTCTGGGTCTGCCGGGGGCAAGGCGCGTGATAGGGCGGTGACCGCCGGAAGGGTTACTGCCCAGGAGGCTGTCCCGCTGCCACAAATGGGGTCGGAGCCAGGCGTTCCTGGTTATGACTGGGTTAAGCCTGAGGTGGCTGAAGCGCAGAGCATTTTTTGCTCCTTTCTTGAGGTGAATGCGCTTCGGAGGACGTATAGGATTTGCGATCCTTCAATCTCTCATATGATTCGGCTTGAGCCCTGCCAGGCCGATGAGGGTGTGTACATGGGGAGATCTACTGATCCCCCCCATTTCTATGTGTATCAATGTTTTATCAGGGATTTGGGTGTTTGTCTTCCTTTCACTCAGTTTGAGTGTGACTTTTTGAATTTCATCAACTCGACTCCTTGTCAGTTGCATCCCAATAGTTGGGGTTTTCTGAGGGCTTTTCAGGTCCTGTGTACAGTTCTAGGTATAGAGGTATCTCTGCGCGTCTTTCTTTATTTTTATCAGTTGAAAATGGGCGCTCCGCCCTATGGTATTTTGTCTTTGAGTGGGAGTAGGGGTGGGGGTTTGTTTACTCCCTACTCCCAGTCATATAAGAATTTCAAGCAGGAGTTTTTCGGGATCGCTCTTGTGGGTGTTGACCCCCTGAAAGACGGGGCGTTCTACTTTGGTGGTTTGCCGAGGTTTCCGTTCTATTGGTGCCCCAAACTGTCTAGGTTTCACGGTTTGGGGGATTTGAAGGTGACGGCCGCGGAGGCGGCGGCCCTTAAAAATCTTGTCGCGCTCCCTCGTCCGCTGGATTGCAAGCTCGTTTTGTCGCTTGCGAATTCGCCTTACAGGGAGAGGGGCCTAGAGAGTGAGTATCGTGTGTTCTGGCAGGCTACCAGGGCCTGTGTGATTGCCTTCTACTAACGTTCTTCATTTTTTTTTATCTCTGCAGGCATTATGGGTAAAAACTTGTGGCGTCAGCTTAAGCATCGCTACAATGTTACTGAGCTCGAGGTCCCTGAGCCTCCGGAGGAGGATGTTCCTCTCTGGCAGGCTGCCCGGAAGAGGAAGAGAGGGGAGGATATAGTCGGGGGGACCTCCGCCTCTCATGATACCGAAAGGGTGGTCCCCCGGGTTGTGGAAGCCGTGGACCTTACAGCTAGCCCTCCGAGCGAGGGGGCTGCTCCGGCGGTTGTGGCGGAGGCGGCACAAAGTGCTGGGCTTGCTGCGCAGGATGGTAAGGTGAGTATTTTTGTGGGATATTTGTGTTTTGCATGTTTGTTTTAGTTTCTTGAGGCATTCCAGATTCCTGTGCAGGGCGGGGTTGGGGTGGCTGGGGTGGAGGCCCGGGTAGAGCCGTCAAAATGGGCTGTGGCTCGTGGGCCAACCCGGCCCACCTTGAAAACGGGCCGGGCCGGGCCAAAATAAATACCAGTTTTATGTTAAGTGGGTAAATTCAAACCCGGCCCACTTTTACCCGGCTCACTTGGGCTGAACCCGTGGTGGGTCGGGCAGCCCACCAGCCCACTTATTTTTTTTTTTGAAACAGAACAGCCAGCCCAGCCCAACAATCACTAAAGTTCAAATTGTAAAATAAAAACAGTAAAAAAATCAAAACCCTATTCTAGCAGTAGCAAGGAAACGGGAGTACCACGCCGCAGCCCGCAGTGCTTCACGAAGGCTCACTTTCACTGCTTCAGTTTCACACACTAAGGGAGGGAGTACGGGACCACGCGCAGTGCTTCACGAAGACTTGTTTCACATTTTCACTGCTTCAGTTTCACTGATTCCGCTTCACACGAAGGTGCCCCTCTTCAATGATTTTGATTCATTATTAAGGAGTTGAATTTATAATAAATATATAAGGGAGGTGAAGTGACAGGGAAAAAAGAAGGAGAAATTCATAAACGCACATACTGGAGTAAGTTCAATTCCCGTGTTATTATTTTTTTTTTTGGTGGGTTGGTGGGCTGGCCCGTTTGACCCACCAACCCGTGGTGGGCTGGGCCGGGCCATAAAAATTTTGACAAAATAAAAAGTGGGCCGGGTTGGGTTGACCCGTTTTTAAGGTGGGCCAAAGTGGGCCGGCCCACATAGGCCGGGCTGGCCCGTTTTTACAGCTCTAGGCCCAGGACGCTGAGCAGGTTGTCCGGGTTGCCAAGGTGGTGAGTAGTGTCTTTCTCGAACGTTCACCTTGACTTTCGTGACGTTGCTCGGTTATTTGATTTGGGTGGCTTTTTGCAGACAGGAAACGCCTCTGGGTCTGAGGTGCAGACGGAGGATGCCGCTGAGCCTGAGATGCAGGCCTCCGAGCTGGACACCCAAACTGTTGGGGTGCGCTTGATCCTTTCACTTTTGTCGCTTTTATGGCTTTCTCGTATGTCGCCGTGCTTGGTTTTGACGTAAGGTTGGTTTTTGCAGGTGGAATCGGGGGTTCCTGAGGTGGACCCCTTAGGTGGCGAGCGGGGGGCATCGCCTTCTGTAGCGGGGTCGATGTCGCAGGCAGGGGCGTCGCAGGGGCCGGCTCGGACCCAATATCTGTCCCATCGCTTCAGGAAGGGGATGGATATGGTACGACTGGATCATATGAGCGCGTCCGCCGACATGGTCTCGTTGTGGAGTGCGGGGGTTACCGCGGAGAGGTTCTTCCCTCCAGGCTCGTTGAGCTCCGATGACCAGGGACTGATCGACAGGATTGGACCGGTGATAGTTTTGATGCTGCCCAGGTCATGTTGTGGAGGGTGATGGGCATAGTGAGCCACTGGAAACTCAAGTGGGATCAGCAGCAGCAGGAGCTTGCTAAGCGAGAGCAGGAGCTGGCGAAGCAGGCGCAGGAGCTAGCCAAGGTGAGGGGCTGGCTTCAGCCGTGGAAAGAGGCGAACAAGCTCCTGAGGGAGGACAACAAAACCCTCAGCGCAGCCCTTGACGAGGCGAAGCAGCGGGAGGCTGAGTCCCGAACCTTGTGCGGGGACCTTGCACAGGTGCAGAAATCTCTTGGGATTGCTCTGCGGTCCAATGAGGCGTACGCTTCCCGGGTAGGGGAGTTGCAGGAGCTCGCCGCATTTTCCCGCAATCGGACCCGCTCTTTGGAGGACGAAGTGACCTCCCTCAAGGGTGAATTGGCGGCGGCAGCTGAGGAGTGTCTTCGTAATGAAGCCATTTTAGGCGGCCGAGAGGACGAGATTTCCGCTTTGAGGGAGGAGCTTAGAGAGCTAGCGGCGGGGTTGAAGAGCGGCTCGGCGAGGTGGAGCGCTCCCTCGTGGCGGAGCATAAGAGGGGCTTTCAGAAAGCTACTCGTCAGGCCCGGCTTCTTGCTCCTGGGTCCAACCTTTCCTCCATGCATGTGGAGAAGGTGGTCCGCTCTGGGAGGCTGGTTCAGGAGGACGATGTCACTGATAGCTCGAGTGAAAATGCCTCCGCCTAGGCTGCCTGTTGTAATTTTGTTTCTTGTCTCTTTTTTTTGGTTCATGTACCGAACTAATTGTAAATTTGCATTTATGTACGCGTTTTTCTTCTTCTTTTGCCTATTTTGAGGTCTCCGCTTGGGTTTATTGTATGTTTTCTGTGCGTGGTGATCGAATCAGTTTTTGGCTTTGGATGCGCTTATGGTTTGTGTTTGCTTTCGGGGTAACTTTACTGAGATTCATATTCGACCCGTGGTGTGTCCGTCAGGGTTCGTATTCGATCCCGGCTTTATGTATTTGCGTGGATGATTCGCGGTTTGGACTTAGTTTCTCGCGAGAGTGTTGAGGTCCGTGCGCCTCCTCGGGTTTGGTTCACATTTGGCTTGGAGGTTGGGCATGTCGCAGTTTGGCTGAGGTGCGCATTTGCCTTGAAACGATGGTGTCGAGGCCTGCTTGGCCTTAGGTGGGAGTGTTTAGGGTCTGTATTTGGAATCCTGGCGAGACAGTTTGAGTAAGTATTGGGGTTCGCATTCCTG